CGCCGGGCTGCGGAGGGCGTCACCCACAGGTGTCGGGTACGGGGCTGCGGACTGGTTCTGCAGCTCCGGGCTGGGAGACGAACATCCATCCAGTCGAGACTGCAGGAGTGGAACTGTGGTGCCCAGCGTGGCGAGCAGCCAGAAGTATATCAGCTTTCTTGAGACTGACTGTGCAATGTAGCTGTTAAAACCAATGAAAAAATCCACCCATGCGTTTAGAACATAAGAGCTGTGCGTTTGAAAGCTGGGACAGCTCCATAAAAACAATGTTCTTCAGTTGGTTTTCATTGCTCCAGGGGCAAGCAGCCTAGCCAGCCAGCTTGACAGCACCACTGCACCCAGGCTTCCCCACCTGCAGGGACTGTCCAGTGCCATGCCATGGCCTGGGAAGTTCCTGTTCTGATCCCTAAGTCCAGGTCCTTGCCGCTGCAGCACCATCCTGGCAGCATCTGAGCTCAGCCTGCACACCAAGGAGTCCCAAGTGTGGCTGGAGGAGCTGCAGCTGAGCAGGCACTGGATGGCTTTGGTCCAAGTGCTTGTTGGGGGCAGGGCCACAATGAGTTCCCAAGGCTGTAGCATGTATGTAGCAATTGTCTGTAGCTCTATTATTGTCATTAATAATACAGTGCTGTGCCTGGTTTAGTTATAGCCAGATCCCTGTAGTATTTGTAGGATAGCACATAACTTGATTTATCTAGTAGCAGCACAAAATTATAAATTCCCTGTTGTTTAAATGTTATAAAGCTTTTGAGTAAAGATCCGGATAAGACACAGAACAATTTGGTTAAGGCAGAGAGCCAGCAGTGCATATAGTTTCAAATAAAGAGATTAAGTAACAGGGCTGCTTAGATAACAAAGAACTAATCAGAGCAGAATCTGTAATATGTGAAGCCACACAAACATCAGGTGAAGAGAAACATATGCTTGAAGTAAAAGTAAGGAGAAGCAGTGAAACCTGCTTGTGGGAGGGCACATCATAAATAGAGTGGATCTAATACCTGAGGTTAACTAATGCCTCTTTAGAGATTAGGTTTTCCTAATTTCTGAGGTATTAGATACAAACATCATGTCCCTGTACCTGGTGAACCAAGAAATTAATTCATCATGAAAATAAGAGTTGCATATGTCTTTTTTTAAAAAAGACATATGTTTATGTTCACACAAGCCACTGAAAATGAGATATTTGGATTAGATATAAGGAAGAAATTTTCTACTGTGAGGGTGGTGAGCACTGGCACAGGCTGCCCAGAGAAGCTGTGGATGCCCCATCCCTGGAAGCCTTCAAGGCCAGGCTGGAAGGGGCTTTGAACTGCCTGGTCTGGTAGAAGGTGTCCCTACCCATGGCAGGGGTTTGGAACTAGTTGGTCTTTAAGGTCCCTTCCAAACCAAACCATTCTGTGATTCTGTGGTAAAATAAAAGGCTGTTGGAATTATTTAAGTGATTATTAGCAATTATTTAAGTGATGTTTCCCAACTATTATAGAACAGTTGGCTGTGGGGGTTATTTGTGCTATGTCAGGATGCCTGTCTGTTGCACAGCTACATGAACACACTTGAGACAGGTCTGTAAGTCCTGTTTGATGTAAATTCTCTGAGGAAAAGTCAATGGTTTCTGGTGTGTGCTGTAACCCAGCTTTTTGTTGCAACATCCACGCAGCTTTTCTGTGATGAAAGAAATTAAAATTAGTGTACTGTATGATTAGCCAATCAAGGTAAAATGAAGTCATGTTTGGTTATTTCCAGGTTTTGCCGCCACGTTCATTAGGAAGTCATATGATGTCAGAAGAGTTGATATCACTCCCCTGGAGCAGAGGAAGGTGACCTTTGATACCCATGCTTTAGTGCAGGATCTGGAAGCCCATGGTAAGTGATACCAGATAAATAATTCAAAGGAAAACTTTGAATATTAAGTGGTGTAGCTTTGAGTGCTGTCAGTTTCCCCAGAGTGCCAGTACCCGGTGGTGTAGAATGTCTTGGCAGCCTCTTGAGGAGGCTGCTGAGGGAGAGGCACCTGATGGTGTGCCATGCAGGCAACTGGGACATTTGCCTTACCTCATTTGGAGCTGTAGGCAGGCTCCTGTGGTGCCTTCCAGCTGAGGAACACAGCACAGGTAACAAATGGGAAGTAACAGTTAAAGACTTCTATAGCAAAAATGAACTCTTCAAGAAGCTCCTTCTACTAGCCTGCTAAGAGTAACTGAAGGGTTTTTTTCCCAATGAGAAGTATTTTCAGCAGCACAGTGCTGTGATACATTCTCAGGGCTCACTCCTCTGTTGTGAGGGAGACTGGCTGAAGTCAGGTACAGGCTCCATCCAGCCCTGGCATGACACTCCAGGCAGAGAAGAGTTTCAGCAGGGCAGATGGATGTCACACATCCCCTTGTACTTTCCAAGTTTCCACTTTGTCACCCTGGAGGTATTTTAAATCAGTTGAGAGTTTTAGTAACCTTCAATGGAAATCTTTTCACAAGTTTATGTAGTTCCTGAGCCACTATAAACTGATTACTATCCAGAACATCCTTCCTTATGGAACTTCAGACATCTGCATGTTCTGTTTATGCAGAATCTGGCATCTGTGAGGTGAATTTGATGCCCAGTCAGCTCTTCTGTGGGAAGGAGTGAACATTTAATCTCTCATGTCACTCATGATTATGCAAACTTCTGTCATACTGCCCCATCATTTTCCAAAGAGAAGGATCCTAGCTTGTTGCATTTTTCCTGAAGCAGTAGATTTTCCATATTTTTGATTATTCACGATGCCCTTCTGTTACTATTTTCTGCTTCTGTCACATTCCATTCCATTTCATGTTTTCAGGGAACAGTGCTGGCATTACTTGACAATTGAATGTCGTATGGATTTGCATAGTAAAGTAATGTTGTGTCTGTTGTGTTCTCTTCCTTTTCCTAGTAATTCAAAGGGTTTAGTTTGCTTTATTCATCCCTGCTGAGCTTTGAGCTATGTCTTCATCAGACTAGCAGCTATCTTTTAAAATCCCAAGTGACAGTAGAAACTTTTACAGTCAGAGGTTAGGATTGTTTCCACTATTTGGTCCAATAATAATAATATGTGTTAGTAGTTAAAAGACTTACAGTAGTCTGCTAACTAAGTTGGGTTTTTTTCATGCTTGTCAGACTTGACAGCCTGTTCTTCCCTACATCTCTCTAGAACTGCTTTTTAAAAACTGGCACTGTTATTTTCCAGTCCATGGGAAACCACAGTAGGCTGTGAAATGTGACTTGTCCCAGGAACTGATTCAGCTATTTCTTCTTCAAGTTCCTTTAGAGCTTGTGGGGTGAAGTCTGGTGCCAGTTGTTACTCAGTTTAATTTGTTCTATAACTTCTACAAATACTTCTACCTCAGTGACAGGTCAGTATAGGTAAAACCACAAAAGTAAGGGAGCCATTTTCGTTTTTCCCAAGCTTTAGGCAGTTTTCAGGCTTCAATCTCTTGCTTATATATATTTTTCTTAATTTTCTAAACTTTCACAAAACAGAGTAATTTCTTGCTGTGGAGGAAGAGCAACAAAAGGAATTGGCAAGAGCTTAAGTAACCCTGAAAATTCAGAGAAACTGAAGCAATACTATCACACTTTGTAGTGGAAGGAAGCTGTCATAAAATATGTGTAGCTTTTTTAGACATGTAAGCCAGTGGTGCACCTGGACAGTACCAGTATTTTAGAAGGGTGCAGTGGCATAGTCCTCTAAATAATGTGCCTTGAAAGCATTTTTCAATGTTAATTTAGCCCACTTTATAAAATGGGGTAGTTGAAACACAACATATCAGTCAGATTGCTGGAAATAAATCTCTAAGGCAAAAGCTCTCAGCACTTGACCAGATGCAGCTAAAGTGAGAGCAGTTTTTCTTCCCCATTATTTTCTACACATCACCTGTAACACTTCAAATTTACACCAAGTTACAGACAAAATGTACTTTTTATCATCAGAAAGCAAAAATCCCCACTTGAGTTCATTCTGCAGGCAATGGATGCAGCAGTTTAAAAATCAGTCTTGCATATGTTCCTGTCTCTGCAGGACAGTTCCAATATATGCAATTACTTGTTATTATTCTATAGAGTGCATGCTTTGTAGCTCAAGGTAAGTTTGGTTTTAACAGAATTTGTGAAAGTTCATTATGAAGTAGTTTTGCTAAATTATTTTTATAATGCATGAATGGCTGGATCTTGTGTGAAGAAATTTGGACTTTATTTCAGCTGCCTGTCTAGACTTTCAGTATATTAAAAGGTGCTGTGCTTCAGATTTTTGCAGCATTAAGTTTGTTTTTTCTAGCTGGAGTTGCAGTGCCTGGCTGCTGGCTCTCAGTTCCCCGTCATTGTGTGAATGTGTCGCTGTGGTTTGGTGTGACACTTGAGCGTCTCTTGCTCCTTATCCAGATTTTTAATACCCCCTTCACTTGTCATCCTTCAATTGTGCCCTAGGCTTTGGGAAGGAGCAGGCACAGACCATCGTGTCGGCATTGATCACCCTGTCCAGTGTCAGCTTAGACACCGTCTACAAGGACATGGTTACGCAGGCCCAGCAGGTAAAAACTCCTCTGTGCTACAAAGGCTCGTGGGTGCATCTTTGAAACACAAGTGAGCAGCTCTCTCTAGTGCTATAAACACCTCACTGTGCCAGGTTGTCCTAAGTTTCACTCGGGATTTTAACAGAAGGTTATAGGCCCTGACCAGCTTCCACTGAAGTCTGATTACTTACAATTCCTGGGAAAACTTTGGTTGCATTTACACTGAGGAGATAATATGCCTCATACCATCTGAAAATATTCATTATCAACACTGACTACACTATAAAAACAGTGTTTCTGCCTGATGCAATTCCATGAAAATTCTGTTTAGGAATGCTTTGCATGTAATAGGATTTCCAAAAAGAAAGGTTTTCATTTTGATGAAAGAAAATCACAGACACAGAAGTTCTTGTTTTCTTCTGAGATTCAGAGGAGGAAAAAGAGTTAGACAACTTTTATTACAAGTAAATGCCAGTAAGATAAAAATCTTACTGTTAGGAGAAAGGCTCAGGAGTTGAAATAAAATAGCAATGAATGCTTAATTGCATTGAGTAATTAAAGAAGAATAGCACATAATTACAGCTTGCACAGCCTTCTGGAGCAATGATCAAAACCATCACTGTGCATCAGAGAATCACACAGCAATGTGTCTTTTTCCATGCTAAATAGTAGGGTAACTTCCGTATGCTGGGTGAAGGAATATTGCTTTCAGCATTTTAAAATTCTGAGTTTCTTCTTCTATTTTCTGGTTTGAGTTTCTTCCTATGTTTATATGTAGCGTTTGAATTCTGAACTTGTTAGTTCAAACCCTGGGAAGGCTTTTCTCAGTGCTTTTTAGCAGTGTTTCACTTCTGTCCATCAGACTTTGAAGCTGGCAGTATGGTACTCATTAATTCTTTGGCTTTCAATGAGTTTGTAGGCAAGAAATGGAAGTGCTTAGTAAGAGCTGGAGTCAGATCAACAATTAATGCTTCTGAGGCTACTAAATGTTCATTGAAAGTGGAAGAGACCACAGGAGGGACCTGTAGTTTCAGGTGTATTTCATTTCATTGCTACTTGGACTAACACCTCTGGCCTTTTTGCTTAAGTTCATATTTGGTGAATTAAAGTAACAGAAAAAGCACAAAACTCTTGAGTCTTTCAAATAAATTGCTGGTATTAAATTGTCTGTTTCTGTCACATTCTTGTTAGAGAGACTCCCCACTTTTGGGCTTTGCAGTAGCTAATTTCATCGTTCAGACCTGAGCATTTTTTCTTTACTTGTCAGAAAGAGTGCACCTTAATGAATGGCATGTTTTATTTTTCAAAGGAAATAACTTTACAGCAGATAATGGCACATTTGGATTCCATTCGAAAAGATATGGTCATCCTGGAGAAAAGTGAATTTGCAAACTTGAGAGCAGAGAATGAGGTACTAATATATATTTTCATTAAGCATTTTAATTGCAGTATTTGTTGTGTTTTACCTGATGTACAGTTTTGTGGAACAAAATATAAATGTAAAAGTAATTCTGTAACTGGAATTGAAGAATCTGTATGTTACAACTTCAGAGATCACATAAAAATATATTTCACTTGCTATGACCTGCTCAGATCTTCTGTAAAGGATTCTAAGATGTGCACATTTTTTCAGCCTCTGTAATTTTATTTAAGGGTAACTGCTAACTTCTGGCCATTAACCAAATAATGCAGGTAGAGGGGTCAGCCATTGCTTTGCAACAGTTTCATTAATTTGGTGATTAAGACATATTTTGGTTTTACTTCATGGTATTTTGGTATTTTTCTGCTGTCTTTAGACTCAGAATAACAAGATCATCATTGTTACAAAATAAATCCTTCCTTTTGAACAAAATTCCCAGCAGATTATATATGCCTGTACATCTGAACACATTAGCTAGGATATTTAATCAAGAACAAATTGCCCCATTGGGAGGAAAAATGGGGAAAGAATAATTGCATGGATGCAGTGATAACACATCACTGATTCATTTGGTTAAGTTTCCTGAATTTTTTAAAATTCTTTTTTTTTTCTCCTCTGCACTTAGAAAATGAAAATTGAATTAGATCAAGTTAAACAGCACCTAATGGTAAGTAAACAGCAAGTATCTACACCACTCCCATTAGGGAGAATAAGTAGCTATTTTCATAATCTTCATTTGTTTTAAAGACTGAGACCAGCAAAATCCGAGCTGACAGCAAGCTAGACATAAACCTGGAAAGGAGCAGGGTGACAGATATGGTGAGTTGGTCTGTGAGATGCCCTTTTTAGCTTTGTGTTGTGTTTCTGTTGCTACAGCTGTGATTTATCTTTTATCCACAGTTTACAGATCAGGAGAGGAAGCTGATGGAAGCAACGACAGAGTTTCATAAAAAAGTAAGTATTGAACAAAGCAGGATGTAGATATGCATTGCGTGTTCTGTAAACTCCAAGCTTTGGTGAAAGCTAATAGGTTTGTATGGTAAAGCAAAAGGCCAGGCTCTGTCACTCAGGGCTGTTGCAGGTGCTTCTTGCCTGTGGGATTCACACTAAACTCCAGTCAGCAGAGGGAGGCATTCCAGCCTTGTCCCTCCCTTCCCAAGTACTGTCACAGGCTGGCACAGCTGGGATGTGAGCTGTCATGCTTCCTTTTTCCCAGTGTTAACTGATAGCTGTATCACAGGGATGGTGCAGGTGCCTACAGCCAAGCTATTCAAGGGCTGGAAGTCCTGAAGCTGCTAGAGGAACCAGAGTCTAAGGGGCTGAAGAGGGACCATGTCCCATCTTGAGCATATCTTCCATTTTTGCGATATGCCTTGGGAATGCTTAAACCTTTGTTTTTCAAAAATGAAGGAATACTGTTCTGTGTGCTCTGATACTGTTCTTTGGCACTGATGTGCCAGTGTCTCCTTCAGGAGGCAGTGGCACATCAGAGACAAAACTCTGTCATGAGGGTGGCGAGACAGTGGCACAGGTTGCCCAGGGAGGTTGTGGACTCCCCATCCATGGCAGTGTTCAAGGCCAGACTGGAATGGGGCTCTGAGTAACCTGGTCTAGTGGAAGGTGTCCCTGCCCATGGCAGGGGGGTTGGAATGAGATGCTCTTTAAGGTGCCTCCCAACCCAAGCCAGTCTGTGATTCTATGATCATTGAAGTTTTCTCTTTTACTGTCTCTATCCCTTCAGCAATCTTTCCAGATTGTATGAAGCCAGTTTCTCTGTCTTCTAATGTCTCTTAGCAGTGATAGGTTGGAATTTTTTTTGTTTCTGGTAGCGTGGTATTTTAATTCAACTTTGTTAAATATATGCTGTCTTCTAATATTTCAGGATGCAAATACGAACAGTATTATCTCAGAAATCAGTAATAAAATTGACACTGAAATAGCTTCCTTAAAAACACTCATGGAATCGAATAAACTTGATACCATTCGCTATTTGGCAGGTATGTGACAGGCAAGGAGGTGAGTACTGGTACTGGGTTTGGCTGTATAAAATTCTGTTCAAGAGTAAATGCTATATGAGGTCAGCTGTAGCAGCAAGCAACTGGGATTGGGTGGAGGAGATCTCCCTCTCCCCCTCCAGTTGGAAGAACTGTGACAGAGAACACAGAAGAGCTGGGAGGATGCCACCATGGGACTAGGATTGTGCCCAGCACTGAGATTAGGACGAATATAGACATGATTAAAAAAAATTACAAGTCTAAATACCTTACCCAGTTTGACAGTACCTCTGCTTGCTGCAGCAGCTATTGATGTGATGGAGTTGCTGCAGAAGTTTTGGTGAAGTCATTTACCTGAAGGTTTTCTGTCATTCAGGACTGGTCTGAGAGTGACCAGTTCTGCCTCCCACTGAGTCTTCACAGGCACACAGTTTCTGTGTGGCAGGACTTGTACTTTTCCCCTGCCAAGCAGAACAGATTTCTGCTTGCTCAAAAACATAATTTGAGATTAGTCTTCTCAATATGTACATAACCAGTGAAGTTTTTTATTGTGTAGGAGCTGGATAAAAAGAGTAATGCATTTTATTTGGAAGAATAAATTGAAAGGCAAATGTAATTAGCTTTATTCTAACAATAATTGAAACAGCAGTGTAACAAATCCAAAAGACGACTTGTCAGGTTTCAGGAGTGCTGTCGTGTTTGACAGCTCATTTTCAAATTCATTGTCATTTTGGTTCCATGGGAAATCTGGGATGTCTAACATGAGCCTTGTGCAGCCAGCTCTCCTGCAGTGCAGTTTCCAGGAGCTGGGGGACAGTAGCACAAGTCCCTGTAGCCTGTGGTGCTCTGAGGTATCCAGCATTGTTGTTGGGATGTGTCCCTGGAAACGTGGCTCCTCAGGCTGCTGCATTGGGCCTCCCATCTCAGCACTGCTGAGACAAGCCATTGGCTTCTGGAATTGTTCTGTCACACCTGCAGCAATCTGGGAGGGTTAGGAGGCTCTGCTCTACAGTTGTTAATTCCTCCATCTGTTTGCAGCTGATTTCTTCTATGGATAAAGTAGTACAACAGCATTCAGCTAATTATCTCCTTTTTCTGTTGTTTGTTCTGTTTTGTTTTGTTTTTAACAGCCTCAGTGTTCACTTGCCTTGCAATAGCACTGGGGTTTTACAGGTTCTGGAAATAGATCTACATGGAATGACTGCACTAAATACAGACGGAAAAGGCCACCCAGGCAACACCACTTCGACAATAACCTTGGCACCTTTTGGTTTTGATACTCTTACTGTATAATAAAAATGTTTTCTGAATATGTAACACTAAAGATCAAAATAACTGGGGGGAAGTAGCCAAATAGTATTATTTCATTGCCCCCTATTCAATACTGTATTTATTTCAAAGTATTTCTTATGCTATACCAGAAAGTTTCCTAATATCTTTTAGAATTGAATTTGTTCTTTTCTGGAAAATTCTCACTCTCAGCTGCTTTCAGAATGGATTTTATATACTCTAGAAATGGGAATACAATTCCCAAATTAGAGTTCCCAGTATGGGGATGCTAATACCAGACTTCAAACTACCTAGTCTGATCCAAGTAAATTATTCTTTAACATAGGTTCAGGATTTTGCCTCCAGTCTGTTCCTCACTTTTTTGATGAATTAAAGCTTGTCCCTTTGGTTTTTTAATCTGCATATGTTAAAACACACTCCAGGGCCTTTACTAAAGAACCTTTTTTTTTTTCCTTGAAAACTGATTTACATTCATTCAAAATCTCATGTATAAAATGTCTCTATAGATTTTTGTTAGTATCTCCCGCAATTTCTGTAAGCCCAGAGGTCCAAAGAATGGGAAAACTACTCTGTCTTTGCCTTTCCAAGGGGAAACGCCTCCACTCCCAGCAGCTGTGTGCAGCCATGGGGCAGATAAATGCTCTTAACTTCCCCCCTCAAGTAGTGCAGAGAATTTCCAAGAAACCTGCACGTTTTCTGGGCATAGCATCTGACTCTTAATACAGCAATGCTCAGAATCTCAGTGGTGCCAGGGTGGTGGTGGTGATCCTCCTCCCCCTCCTGCAGGCGTTTTTGCAATCCCACGGGACACACTGACCCTCGTGACCACTCTGCCTTCTGCAAGGACTTGACTGTTCCTGTTGCAGAGTTACAACACAAGTGGATGCCTTCCAAAAGTGAAGCAGTTCCATCTTGTTGATTACAAATGCATATGCTTGGTTTGATTCTTTCAGTATAATAATAATTTTTTTAAGTCTTTCTGGATTAACTTTGAAGTAAGAATAGGCCTTTTATGGGCTAAGGACTGTTGTAGTACTGAGTACTGGCAATTTTTTTTTATTGATGTTTTATTCTGTTTACAGTTGAACTTGCTGGTATTCTGCCAATTCTTATATTCTCTGCATTAAATTATTATCATCTTTATTCAAGAAAATAAAATTAATTTCTTATATTTGCTGTCTGGCTATCTGACAATTTCTGCATGAAAGTTTAGCACCAATCAGGATGCAGGAAACAGCTCACGTGGTGCAGCTTGTCACCACCATAATTTCACACACCCTGAACCAGGCTCTTGATGCAAGACTGTTAAGTCAGCATGCCTCTCCTTCGTGGTGTACACAAAACCATGGATTTTTATTTATCAGTATCCTTGAAATTCTCAGAGATGAAGTTTTCTTTGGTACTAAGGAGAGGATGGATCAGGACTGACACACTTATCTTCTAAGTCTCAAAATGAGGATTCCAGAGGGAAAATAATTTCACACTAGCACACAGCTGACAGAAAAGCTTTTATATGTGTAGTCATTAAATGGTTTTTAGGTATGGAGGAGAGGTCAGGGTTGCAATTTCTAATGATAAGCTACCCCATGGTAAACCCTTCAGCCCTGAGTTAGGCCCAGAGACTGACTGCTGCAGGTCAGCTGAAACCTCACAAAGGAGTGGCTTCCTGCCTTCTTTAGGAATGACTAAAGATGGAAATCAAGGGGCCTGACACCTCTCTACAGCTGAGGAGTAATTCTCCATCCACTATTCAGCTTCCACACTGAATATGCTAGGAGGTAATGAGCACTTACACCATCCTAAGGTGGCAGTAAAAATAAACCAGTGAATGGAGATACTTTCCTCAGAACTATAAGGGCCTGTGACTTACCTGTTGTTAGGCCAGAGAACTAAAAACAGTTCAGTGTTTTTAAAAAGTAGAGACGCACAGCTCATCTGTAGAGCTGGGCTGTGCAAACACTGTGCATTATCTGGAATATTGCCTTTGTACCTCCAGTCTGCTGCCCCTCCTTGGAGGTTGGTTCCTCAGTGTAGTCGCACTCCTCCTGGGCTGCAGGCTGACTGCTTCTTTATTTTCGTCTTTGCAAGACTTGGCCATTGTCTCAGCTTCCTGAAACAAAGAATACTGCAGCCATTAAACAGGAACCACTGGAAGGATGTGAAAATCCACATCTGGGAGTAACCACAGAATACTGTGTTCAGATTGAAGCTGAGGGCAGAGCACAGTCCTGGGGCATGGGGTGGCAGCACAGCAGTGTGAGACTTGAGGTCCCTTGGCTGTAGCAGTCACTCAGCCAGTGAAGGCTGCTTGGTTAGAAGGGGAAAATTACCAAAACCAAAAACTGCCTAATGAAAAACATTGACAGAGAAATGTTTGCCGGCCTGGCAATCACAAGGCTGAGAAGCAGAAACATCCTTGAAAAATTGCAGCTGGCCTCTCTGAAATCCAGCTGTGGCACCTAGCATTCAGAGCCGGAGAGATTCCACCAAGAAGCACAAAAACCAAGGACTGCAGAGGCAATTGACTGAAAAGGTGGAAAATAATCTGGGAAATAAAAAATGCTCTGAAAGAATAGAAGCACCATCATCTATTGCCATCTGTTGTACAGGTGAAAAGTAAAAAATTAGAATCATCATCACCTACTGGCTGCTTGCAGTGTTGGTGTCCTCTTTCCTCTTATGTCTCTATCATATAAAAAGAGCTTAATTTTTAATTCAAAACAGAACCTCTGTCTGAGAACTCCTAGTGCTGCACGTAATGTTCCTTTCCCAAACAGACTGAATTCTCTCCATGAATTTTCTATGAGATCTTGGGCTCTCATTCAGTATGCCTGACTGACTCCAGACACTGTGACATGGATCAAGTCCCTGTTATTGAATTTGTCCTCCTCTGGGGACCCATGGCAGCAATCTCAGCCGTGCAGGCTGGGCAGCCCTTCAGGTGGTGACAACACCTCTCCTGAAGCACCATTCGAGTCTCAGACACCAGGTCTGAGCCAAGGGCAGCTGCCAGTCACTGGATATGCAGTAGGGAAGCACTGGGGATCAGCCCACTCCTTAGGTGAACATTAGGATGAAGAATAGCAGTGCTTCTCTGCCAGGGTACAGAAACTGAGACCCTTTCACAGCACAGACACGGCCAAGGCCAGACAAGGGTCACGCTGCTCAGTTCAGCGTCCCGAGGTGAAAGCTGTAGCACATTTTCTCTAGACTGTGCCCTCTAACAGAGGGAACAAACACACAGAAGCAGCAGGGAGGGGCCTCTGTGCCCCGCCCGGGGAGCTGGTGTGGCACTCACCACGGAGGCGATGCGGGTTTTGCCCCGGGCCTCTCGGAGCTGCTTTATCTCAGCACGGTAATCATCCAGCTGGCTCTCCAGCTTCTCCCACCTGACTCGCTCATACTCCAGCTGCGCCTCCAGCTCCCTCACAGCCCTGCCAAAAGCGAAGGAGACAAGCAGAGCATGAAGTACGTCCTGCCCCGGCTGCTCCACGTGGCGCAGCGCCTTTGCCAGGGAGCAGGTCAGTCACGCCGGCTGCGCTCAGGCTCCGGAGCCCTGGGGACAGCGCCGAGCAGCAGCTGTCCGTCCTCGGCTGCCAGCCGTGCTCAGCGCCGTGGCACCACGAGATGGAGCCGTCCGCCCGCACACCGAGCCCGGGCCGCGCTGCCTGCCACCCGGCCCGGCTCCAGCTGCGGGGGAGGGAGAAGCGCCCGAGCAGCCACGAAGTTATTATGAAACACAGAAAAGGCACAAAGCCGGCAGCGTTCTGGAAAGGTCAGGGCCAGCCTTCTCAATCACATCTGGTGCTTCTACACCCTTCCTATTGATTGGCTTAGGCACGGATGAGAAATACTCAGATGACAGCTTGCATGACTGGCTTATACTCAGTTGCACAAGATCTCACTGGTCACACCCTCAAGGGCTCCTAAATTATTTGAGATTCCTGGAACTGTTTAGCTGACACGTAATTCACACATAAACTGAGTCTCTGCATTTGAGCTGGCTCTCTCATATATCAGGATGAACTATCCCAGCTATAAGGATGGAAGATCAGTAAAAGCAAAGGGGAGATATCTGCCCTATGCATTCAAACAGCACAGGAGGAAAGCTCTCAGCAAGACCTACCATGTTTCCATGTTTCTCTGTTTCCCAGAGTGAGGAATTCTTGACTCAGGTCCTTTTGAGCTACCAATCAGCCTTGCTGCCACTGCAAGAATGAATGGCCTGTGCTCAGAGGACAGCTGACTTCTTCCATGCTTCCAATTAAAGAGGCACAGCTCCCAAACTGTGTGGCACACCCATGGTGACACTTTCCTGCAACCAACCCTGGTTAAAGCACTGTGAAGTGATTCACACCAGGCCTCTTACAGCCAAAAATCCTGGACTAAAGCAGAAATCTTCAAAATCTGCTACAGTAGCCTTCCCAAGTGGCAACTCCTGCTTTTCATCTAGCAAAATGGTGTTCTCATTAAGTGTTTTATCAATAATGGGGTTTTCTGGCCTATGATACAAGCACCTTGGGGTTTATCTACAGATAGGTACCCTGAGAAGGGTAGGCAGGTATTCTGACAAGCCCCATTTCTTTTCAAAAGAATAGTTTTGGTCTAGGGATGCTTTCCAGCCTTCACAGGTGAGAGAAACCCTTCAGAGAACCTCACAATTTTTCTGGTTTAGCCACACATGCCACAGAAAGCAACACCACTTTAAGAGCCCCAGCAGAGCCTTCTAATAGACATTGTTAGTTTTTGAGCAGCTGCTCTATCCCACCATGAACTTTCCTGTCTGTCAGTAGCCAAGAGTGACTTTTCTATCATTAAAACCAGATTGCTCTGACCTTTTAACATGGGCATCAACACCTAAGCTGGTCACCCTCCTCTAAAACGAGGAGAGACACTTCTAAAAGTGATCAATCTCATCCTGAAGTACATGTCTAATTATGCCCTGGAAGTGCCTACACCTCTCCAAGAAGCTGACAAAGGAGCTCATGATAACTAACTTGGCCAGAGGTGTCTGTTACCAATTTTATACATATCAAGTTAAGCAAGATGGACTTTCAGCATAAACTGAGTCAAAGAGTGACCTGGATCCAGAAGAAATCCTGACCTCAGTTTCCTGGCTCAGATATGGCTGTAAAACAAAGTACTTAATTGCAATCTGTGACACCTATTATCTGCTCCAGATCAACTGCTAAGTCTGCTGTCTTCTTGATGGCATATAAGCCCCCCAGACAGTGACCAAATAAAGACAGTGGTTTGGGTTGGCCCAAACACATGATGGAGGTGGTTATCTGAGAACAAAGGTAGCCAAATCTTTGACAGGCAGGGGTGGAGACAGGCCTGTCTTTGGAGGCTGCAGTATTGTTAATTCTCTAAATCTTTGATAGACTTTTCTTTGAAATGTAGACAGTCTGTCCATCAAATCACCTGACCAACCTAACAGAACCATTGGATTTTATGGAGACATTGAGAATTATATCTTATGAACAATGCTTCACATGCAAAGGCAGGTTTGCTGGTAGTTTTTTCCTGTAGTCTGGATACAAGCTAATCCTTTCTTGAGCACAGAAACATGGCCAATGGACAGAAATGTTAGCAGGTCACTGAATAATCTCCGCTGTATGTGCTCTTCCATCCAAGCCATGCTAAGACTTTTGCCTATTCTCAGTTTTTCTGAAGGGCATACATGTCTTTGGTATCCTCAGAGGAAACAAAACAGCCAGAAGCTGCTTTGACCTACTGCACACATCTGCAGAAAAACCTGAAGACTGAACAGATTATCTCGCACAAGAATCATGGATCTATCAAGCACTTGTGTTGTGGGGCTGATCCTGGTGGTAGAAGTTTAGAAATGGCCAGACAAATTGCTGCAGTTCATTTCTTTTGGCCTAGTTGAAGTTGGTAAATGGAAAAGACAGAATGGTCAAATGCAAATTTGAGCATAAATCAGCTTTAAAGGAGGATTTTAAATGGGTCCCACAGTGTTAAACATTAGCAGGACAGAATGACCTTACTTCTCAAATTTCCTTTCTTCTTTTCTCATCTTCTTCTCCTCTTCAGTTACTCCCCCCAGCTGTCTGTAGTTGCTGTAGGCAATTTCTAGAAGTCTCTGAAGTTCTTTAATCTTGTGATAGGCCCTTACTGTAAAACAGAGTTCTCCAGGTAGGTTAAATG